TATAGCGATTTGAATCCTGAGAAAACGGAAATATAGAGAGGGGAAATAGTGAATTATTGTCAAGGTAACATGAGTTGGCTTGTAAAATATGCTGTCCACATGTTAATAATAGCAGACACAAGGAACATCACAGGAGAGAGGGCAAAAAGGGTAAAGGCCAGAGGATGGGAGGGGATGCTATGAAATACTGTCTTCTGGACATGACATAGCAGTTGTACCTTGAACTCAGCATCTGTGGCTGTCTGCAGAAGGGTCTCACAAGGCCCCACTCCCCTGTGAGGAGAAAGAACCGGAGTTGCCACAGGACACAGGACACACCAAGACTGAGTTCGCAGCACAAAGGAGATTTATTTTGTGCGAGATGGACAAAAGGCAGGGAGTGGCCGGGCAGTGGTGGTGCACGCCTTTAATCCCAGCACTCGGGAGGCAGAGGCAGGCGGATCTCTGTGAGTTCGAGACCAGCCTGGTCTACAAGAGCTAGTTCCAGGACAGGCTCCAAAACCACAGAGAAACCCTGTCTCGAAAAACAAAAAAAAAAACCAAACAAAAGGCAGGGAGTAAGAGACAGGAGGTAGATGACAAGAGAGAAGAGGAAAGGGGCCAGGGGGTTGATGTTTGACCTGGAGGTACAAAAGACAGATGTGGCCCACAGGCAATGACAGTGTCTAAAGGGAAAAGGGGAAACCCCATGTTAGGATGAGTTGGTTTGTTTTAATTGGGCATGTTAATTAGGATTTTAAATTAAGAATTTAATAATTTTCTTACTAAAAGAGTCGAAAGGGAACTTTTGATTGCTGGACTTAAATACTTTGATAGCTGGACCTTGGTGGACAGCCTCAGGAGGAGGAAGTGGCCAAATAAGGGAATAGAACTTGGTGACTACCTTCAGGAATGTAAGCTATGGCTTAGCAAGGAGGAGAAAGGTGAAAGACAAAACCTGTCAGAGTGCTGTTTACCATGGGCTTGTTAGAGCCCTTCAATGGGTATATAACTTAATGGTTGCTGGAGAAGGCGTCATTCCTCAGTGGTGTAGCCATTAGTAAGATGCCCTTGCTCAAGTAAATAACCTCCCAGCCATGCTCTTGAGTGCAACCCTAACTAAATGGGCACGTACACAAATAGGAGGAGGACTTACTAGGAAGAAGGGCATTAGTGGGAGGGGAAAGGATAAAAGAGGATAATAGGTACATGAAATTTGAAAAAATAAATACATTTAAATCCTCGTTTGTATAGTGGTGAGTATCCCCGCCTGTCACGCGGGAGACCGGGGTTCGTTTTCCCGACGGGGAGTAAAAATAAATAAATAAATAAATTTAAATAAATAGCTATCATTATGATCACTAACATTTTCTGGAGAGAATATAAGATTTTCAAAAACTCTTATGGAGTACTTGCATATGTACTGCTAAGTGCTAGGGAAACAGGAAAAGATGCAAGAGGGGAATTCCCCTTGGAGTAAGGAATGTGGACACAAATGGTAACGGATGTCTGGAAAATGTGGTGGTTGGGGGGAATGGAGTGGTTTGAGAGCAGGCCCTATCAGAAGACATGCTCTCTGGGCTTTCTGCCTCAGTGCTGAGCTGGAGGCTAGCATGGGGAAGAAAGGCCAAGGTGGACCAATTACGAAAACGCCTGGAGGGGAGAGAGAACAGTGTTCTGGGTAAAGAGGCAGAAATGCTTCTGTGTCTTGGGTTTTAAGAAAAGTGTAGTGGTGGCGCACGCCTTTAATCCCAGCACTCGGGAGGCAGAGGCAGGCGGATCTCTGTGAGTTCGAGACCAGCCTGGTCTACAAGAGCTAGTTCCAGGACAGGCTCCAAACCACAGAGAAACCCTGTCTCGAAAAACCAAAAAAAAAAAAAAAAAAAGAAAAGTGTAGAGTTAGGTTGCAAAAGTGAGTGGATGTTTCTGTTTGTTTGTTTGTTTTTAAGACAAGGTCTCTTGTGTATACTTCAGCTGTCCTGGAATTCTGTGTACTCCAAGCTGGCCTTGGAACTCACAGAGATCCAACTGCTTGCTCTTCTCCCTGAGTGCTAAGACTAAGGGTGTGCACCATCACACCCAGCTAGGTTTTTTGTTTTGTTTTATTTGGGATTTTCAAGATGGGGTTTCTCTGTGTAGCCTTGGCTGTTGTGGAACTCTGTAGACCAGGCTGGCCTCCAGCTCTTACAGATGTGCCTGCTCTGCCTCCAGAGGGCTGGTATTAAAGGTCTGCGCCACCACTGCCCAGCCAGGTCTTATTTTCTTATTGAAGCCTTTGTAAGCGCTTCTTTTATTCTTGGGACACTAACTCTGAAAATTTTCTTACTAAGCACTAATGTAATTGAGAAAGATCATGGGGTCCAGGGAAGTGGGTCAGTGGCTAAAAGTGCTTATCACAAGTCTTGTCAAGCTGAGCTCAGTCCCTGGGACCCACACGGTGGAAAAAAAAGGACAACTCTTTTTACTTTCTTTTTTTAAGAAAAAATTTTTTTTTTTACATTTATAAGGTTGTATTTTTTTTAAGTGGGTTATGGTGGGGAAAAGGAAGAAGGGGAGAAGAGTAGAGAGAGATAAACAGGGGGTAAGGGGAGAAGGGAGAGACAGAAGCTGCTGAGAGAGAGAGAGAGAGAGAGAGAGAGAGAGAGAAGAAACAAGGGCCAACCCTTGAAGGTTGTCCTCTGATTTCCACACAGAGGCTGTGATATATGAATGCCCAGATAAATAAACGAACATAGTTTTAAAAAGAAAAAAAAATCTGGCAGAATTGTGGAAATGACCATTGATGTCCCTACCTGAGCTCACTTATAGTTCCTTATATCAATATTCAGAGGTAGAAATTAGTGTCTTGACTTTCTAGATGGTAAGATTGGCACTTAGATGGCTTCATTCAAACCCCACACACTTAATGGGAAGTGGAGTTCCAGATCTATGTCTTTGTGACTCTAAAGCCTAGAGTCATTTCAGTGATGTGCTCTCTGTTTGTGCTGTAGGACAGTCTCATTCATTCTTACAGTATTGTTGGCCCAGCATTTCATGTCATTGTTTAATCTCCATGACAATCATTAATTAATGGAGATGGTGTCATCTCCATTGAGAGGCATGGAAAAAACAGGCTTGGGGAGTGTGATGATTCATGGTTTATACCCAGAGAACAGTAAGCTAGGTGTTTAGCACCAGGCTCTTAGCAGAGAAAAGCTGTTTTGTTTTTCCTGTTTGTGGCACCATTACAAACATGCCTCACTTCCTTCTGTGCCTATGCTCTGGATGTTTATAAGGCTCTTTCCTTCTAGGCTTTGGAGATCATATTCACTGGAGGACGTTAGAAGACGGGAAGAAAGAAGCAGCTGCAAGGTATAAAACGTGGTGTCGTGCCATTGACAGTGACAAAACTTTCTAGCCATTAGCTTAGCATTGCTTTCAGGTGAAGGGCCATGTTAAGGCCCCACAAGAACTAAATAATACTCGGGAGGCAGAGGTAGGTGGATCTCTGTGAGTTCGAAGCCAGCCTGGTCTACAGAGCTAGTTCCAGGACAGGCTCCAAAGCTACAGAGAAACCCTGTCTCAAAAAAAGCTCAGCATGTACTGTGTACCGGGTATTAGATAATCTCAACCAACTCATTTAGTTTTCGCATTTCCATGAAGTATGTTCCTTTTTTTTTTTTTAGCAATATGAAATTAAGCCACTCAACAGTTAATTTGTCCAAGGTCACGAGTTGGTATAAAGTAGAGGTGAGCATCCAACACCTCTTTAGGTTCTTTAACTACAGAGCCAGAGCTCTCAACCCTAAGTTATACAGGCTACTATCCTAAAGCTAAAATGGTGTTGTGTTTCAGGTCTGTGTACAACAACCCAGAGCACAAGGCCTGGGGGAGGAGGCGGAGGCCGGGAACTGTCAGTTTTACATGGATGGGTTTATTTAGTCTTCACAGCCTCTGAGATTGGTACACCTAGGAAAGAACTGTTACATTTTATAGAAAAGAAACCTAGATACAGAAAAGTGAAGCTACTGTCCAGTATTTAAACTGCTATTAAATGGCAGAGCCAGGACTTTCATTTCTCTACTAGTGTATTGGAGACTTACTCTGCCCCAAAGTGTGTGTCCTCCATGATATCACAATACCGGCACAGACATGCTCACACTTACACTTCTACACCTACCAAACTAGTAATTGCTGTTCCAGAACAGATCCTACAGCCTCTTGACACTGGGGTCTCAACCTTCTGCAATAGAATTGCCAAATTTAATAATAGAAATAAAAGATGCCCAGCTAAATTTATAGTTTACACAAAGGAAAATAGAATATGTCTATGCAGCTTAATGCGATTTTAAAAAAATCTTAAATTCAGATTTAATTGGGAAATCTGCATTGTACTTGACAACCTGTCCAAGATGAAAATTCCCATTAGTCTTTCAAGTTAAATAAATAATCCTAGGGGTCTGGAGAGATGGCTCAGTAGTTAAGAGTACTGACTGCTCTTCCACAGGACCCGGGTTCAATTCCCAACACCCAACAAGGCAGCTCACAACTGTCTGAAGATTCAGTTGCAGGGGATCTGACACCTTCACACCAATGCATATAAAGCAAAGTTAAACAGACCATAAAAAATATTAAAAAATAAAATAATAAAAATAATCCGACCCAAGGATATAGCTCAGTGTTAGGGTGCCTGCATGAGGCCCTAGCCCAGCACCCCTCTCCAAACAAATAGAGACAAATTCAAATATCAAACAAGTTTCCAACGAGTTTTCTGGGCATCTTTCCACTTCTATTCTTCACACTAACATGGCTACCTGTAGCATTTTTTACTGTGTGTGGGCACTTAATTCTTCCAGTTAAGACCCTCAATTTCCTTAGGGGAACAATTTTATGTTCATATCATATTACGGAAAGATGTTGACGATTGAAATAATTGTTGTGAATAAACATTTACTAAGAGCTACTAGCTGTAAGAGAAGTCCTGACTAGAGACGCTTCCTTTGTAATTTGCTCTCTGTGTGCTAAATGTGGTGCTAGTAATTTTGTGGGATGCCCATTAAATCCTAATTAATGGGCATCTTTGGCGCCAGGGCAATCATATTTTCTTAGACCTATAACATGTGGTGTAAATAACTGATGCCATCTAATCTCCCTGTCTCCTTTCTGAGAAATTTGGTCCTTGAACTGGTTGGTTTGGCATTCCCGTTTCCATAGAAACAAGCGCGCTTGTCGGAAAACAGGACGTTCGGGTTTCACTTCCGGTTCACGCCGGAAGTTGACTCGACCGTCCGCACATGGGTGGCCCTAGGGAGGATGCCGCTCGTGGTGTTTTGCGGGTTGCCGTCTAGCGGCAAGAGCCAGCGGACGGAAGAGCTACGCCGGGCGCTGGCCGACGAGGGCCGAACGGTGTACGTGGTGGACGACGCTTCGGTGCTGGGCGATCAGGACGCGACGGTGAGGGCGTACGGCGACCCTGCCGGTGAGAAGGCGCTGCGTGCGGCGCTGCGGGCCGCGGTGGAGCGGCGCCTGAGCCGGCAGGACGTTGTCATCCTGGACTCCCTCAACTACATCAAGGGCTTCCGCTACGAGCTGTACTGCCTCTCGCGGGCCGCGCGCACGCCGCTCTGCCTGGTTTACTGCATACGCCCGGTCTGGCCGAGCCCTAGACCTCAGGGGGCTGAGGCCGCTCAGAACCGCGACCCGGCAGCTGTCAGTGTGAGCTGGAGGCCGCGCGCCGCTGAGGGCGAGAAACCTCGGGTGGCCGGCGCCGTGGGGGAACAGCGTCCCGCCAGCCTGTTAGAAAATGGGGCGGCCCTGCCGGCCCTCCCCAGGGAACTGGAGCCGGAGGAAATCCTGCCATCAAGTCCTCCAGCGGGTGTAACTCCGGAATCCGAGAAATCTGTGAAGCCTGCTTCCAGTGCCTTTCCTCCCGAACTTCTGGAGTCCTTAGCGCAGCGCTTTGAGGCTCCTGATTCTCGGAACCGCTGGGATCGACCTTTGTTCACCGTGGTGGGCTTTGAAGAGCCATTGCCCCTGGCTGAGATCCGATCTGCACTGTTCGAGAACCGGGCACCCCCGCCCCATCAGTCTACTCAGTCCCAGCCCCTGTCCTCTGGCAACTTTCTGCACCAGCTGGATCAGGCCACGAACCAGGTGTTGAGTGCCGTGATGGAAGCACAGAAGGGCGCCGTACCCGGAGACGTGTTAACACTTCCTGGCACCACGGAGCACCTCCTGTTTACCCGGCCCTTGACCATGGGGGAACTGAGTCGTCTCCGTCGCCAGTTTATTTCCTATACAAAAATGCATCCCAACAACGAGAACCTACCTCAGCTGTCCAATATGTTTCTAAAGTATCTGAGCCAAAATTTGCCCCAATAGAGGCACTGGGAGGCGGCGATGGTTCCTGTCTAAATTGCACTGTACTTTGTCCGGGAAGAATAGTGTGAAGGTCTACAGATCCTACTGTACTAGGATTGCTAAGGTTGACTGATTCAATTTCCTGGCCACCGCTGTGCGTGTCGTGTCACGCCTGTGTGTATAGCATAAGCTAAGGCATAGGAGTAGTAGCTCCAGAAATCTCAGGTGGGCAGTTTTTCTTTGGACTCTGCCTGGGGATATTACATTTGGATGGAGGAGAATTGTTTTAAGTCAACTGTGAGTAGAAGACGATACAGTTTTGTAAGGCCCTTTCATACTACAAAAAAAAAATATATATATATATTTGAGTATAGTACTTCTTGCTATCTATTCTGCATCATGGAACACAGATACGTTTTTTGTTCTGGGGAAACTGATATTTGTATAAGACAACCATTAGTTATTTCCTCTAATAAAAGTTTTCAAAGTTGTTTGCTGGACTCTTAATGTAATTTAATGTTCTCACTGTAACTTAATACTTTACATGAGTCGTGGCATATCTTTGGCTGATAGTGTTTTTTATATGAGAGGCTCAATTGCTTGGTCTTTATATTTTGGCACCTTCCATAGCAATTGTACTTCATCATATTTCAAGGCAAGCATCACTAATCTTAATTTTGTTGGTAACAGACAGTAAATACTGGATTCCCGTTATCCGTATAATTTTTCAGACTTGGCTTTGGTCTTGAGTAATTTTTTGTGTGGAATGCTTAATTGGATGAAGGGTGGCCGTCACAGAGACTGTGGAGGATTAACTAGCTGCTGGGAGAAGGTGCTTTTGGGAGACTGTAGAAAAGTTAGTATTTGAAACGTAGCTGTAGAAAAATGGTCAGCAAACGTGTTCAGTCTAGATGACTCTTGTAAATGAAGGACACTGCAACGTCCAAAAAGAACACTGGTTTGGGAATCAGTCTTTTTGTTAGCTTATGGCAGAACTTAAGTTTCATGTGGTCAGTTAATATCGGGAGTCTTGATCTTTCTGGGTGGGGCTGGGGATTGAACCTAGAACCTTGTACAAGATGGGCAAGTGCTCTGCCATTGAACTACATCACAGATTAATGTTTTCATTTCTATGAGACCATTAACAGTATCCACCCTAGATAAGTGTGTTGGAGTATGCTTATAATCCTAGCACTCAGGAGACTGAGGCAGGAGGATTGCCATGAGTTTAGGCCAGTTCAGGTTACAGAGTTAGAGACCCTAAATCTAAAGTAAAATCACGATGAGATGGCCAGGCATGCATCCAAGCCTAACAAACTGTCCAACTTCAATCCCCAGGACTTACACCATGAAAGGAGAGGACCTCTGATCTCCAGTGTACTTGCTCTCTCCCTTCCTTGCTTGCTTGGTCTCCCTTCCTCCCTGGAGCGTGCAAAGCTCGCACACACTGAAATAAACATAATTATTACGCCAGGCGGTGGTGGCACACGCCTTTAATTCCAGCACTCAGAGGCAGGCAGATCTCTGAGTTCAAGGTCAGCCTGAATATAATTATGTTCCACACTCCAGGAAATTATTTACTGGGGTGGAGGTCTCACTATGAACCCTTAGTTGGCCTGCAACTCATTATTTAGACCAAACTAGCGTTCAGATTCAGAGATCAGCCTCCAGACTGCTGGCATTAAAGCCATGTGTCATGATGCCTGGCTCATAATTGTAATTTTTAAAGTTTCTCCCCTAGGGTTTATGGGGCTGTGTAGTTTAATGCATCATAGTTATGGTCACCTACATCCTGCCATCTACGTACACTTGTCCTTCTCATGTGGTTTATAAGCCTTTACAGACACCAAAGTCAGAAGTCAGTCCATTCAGAGTCTCAGTACGCCTGAGGTGAGGTAGATGGTAAACTAACGCTTACTAATCATGTACAATAGCACTGGTACATAGTGAATACTGTGTGCTTGATGTCAGTGATACTGGATGTGTTGGATATAGGGGAGGTAAAGACAGCTGAGAACACCTTGTCTCAGGAATTCTAGGTGTAATAGAGAAGCGTTTTACCCACTGAACCATCTCCCTCACCCTATTGATAATTTGTTTTGTTTTCGAGACAGGGTTTCTCTAGCTTTGGAGCCTGTCCTGGAAACTACCTCTTTTAGACCAGACTGGACTTGAACTCACAGAAATTCGTCTGCCTCTGCCTGCCGAGTGCTGGGATTAAAGGCGTGCGCCACCACTGCCCAGCTCCTATAGATAATTTTTTTCATATCAATAATTTTGTATCCTTATTTTATACTTAGCATATTAATGGAAGGTCTTTATTTACATTTTCAGCTATTATGTAATAATGACTTTGAGATACAGAAACATTCAAAATATTATAATCTGATGTTTTTCTTCTATTCCACCTTTTTTGTTTCTACTTTTAAAGTCCAATGCAGGATTTATGGAAACAGAATTTATAGTAGTTTTTTTCTGATATCATCCATTAAATAGTTGGATTATTTTATAGTTGAAACCATACAATAGAAACATTTCTGTGCAGTACTCTGACTCAGTGAACTGATGGTTTTGTTAGCATGCTTTTGAAGGATTCTACTAGAATATAATTTCTTTGTTTTTAAGTGGCTTGCCGCTGATGGTGATCATACATAAGTCTTGGTGTGGAGCTTGCAAAGGTAAGTACAGTTGTTCCCCCCTGACGTTAGGCTTGAGATGTCAACATGTTAGTGTTGGTGCTGCCAGAGCACTGCTGATTGCTGTGAGCAATACCAAAGAAATATGACGCGGGATGGGAAGAGTAAGATGCAGTTACGTGGTATATGGAATTAATTGTGTTAATGTCTCGGGCAGTACATCTAAGCAGAAGCTGAAATGGTTTAGGGAAGGAGAGAAGCAATCAGAACTGGAGGATACTTGCCTGTGGCATGTATTCTTTCTTCCTGCCATGTTTAGAAAGAAGTACAGTTGGGCATGGCAGCTTCCAGTAATCCCAGCACTCAGGAAGCTGAACAGATTGGCACAAATTAGAGGTCACCTTGGACAACAGAGTGAATCCCCGTCTCAAAAATAAGATAAATAAGAAGAGTGTACAAGCCAAGTGCTGTGCATGCCTGTAATCCTAGACCTTGGGAACCTGACGCAGGAGGATCAGAAATACAAGGATAGCATGAGTTCCACTGAAAGACCCTGTTTTTTCTTAAGCTTTTAAAATTTTCATTGAGTTTTCTTTAGTACCCATTTTATTGTTTATATCTTATTTTGTGCATGGGTATTTTAGCTGCATGTATGTGCGTGTATCACACTTGTGCTTAGTGCCTTCAGAGGACACAAGAGAGTAGATTCCCAGGAACTGAACCACCCTGTGGATCCTGGGAATCAAACTCGGGTCTCTGCAAGAGCAGTGAGGGTTCTTAACCACTAACCATCGCTCTGTCCCAGCATTTTATTTGTATTTATTGTATGGGTGTTTTGTTTTGTTTTGCTTTGTTTTGAGACAGGGTCTCGTGTAGCCCAGGCTACTCTAGATCTTCTGTCAGGGTACTGTGCATACTGAAAAAGCACTTTACTAACTGAGCTCCACTCCCAGCCCAAGAGACCCATAACAACAACAACAACAAAATAAAAACTTAGAGGTGGTGTTGGCCTCCTTATTCCAGCACTTGGGAGGCTGGAACCTGAGAACTCCAGTGAGGTCCGGGATAGCCTAGGTCTCAGTGTGAGGGTCAACGCCCTCCCCCCAGCAGCTAACATTGTGGTTCCTTTTTCAATAGAAATTAAATTGAAATATAACTAAAAAGCAAACTGTGGGAGCCATGAGATGGCTTATTAAGTAAAGACACTTGCTGCACAAGTCTGGCATCATGGGTTTGATTCCTGGAACCCATGTAAAGATAGAACCGACTCTACATAGTTGTCTTCTGACCTCCATGTGTGCTATATGGCACATGCATACACACACATACACACATATACATATATTTATATAATATATAATTTATATATACACATATTTACAGTGTGGCGGTCAGAGTACAACTGTGGGAGTCCATTCTTCTGCCATGTGGGCTACAGGGATTGGACTTAGGTCATCAGGAGTGCAGTGGGCATCCTTACCCACTGAGACATCTCTTCAGCTCATAAGTATTTTTTTTCTTTTTGCTGAGACAGGGTCTCGCTGTATAGCCCTGGCTATGCCAGAACTTGCTACGTAGACCAGGCTGTCCTCAGCCTGACAGATCCTTCTGTTGTGTCCTTGATTAAAGACTTGTGCTGCCACTCCCAACCCCCCATTGTTCTCATCTCATAAATGAGAGTCCCAGTTGGGGTCACATCACAGTACAAGTGCTAGAAGCAGGGTGAGCATCTAGGTGCCCAGTTCTTGTTTTATAATTGCATTTTTTTTTAAAATTTGTTTTTATTACTAATTAGTGTTGTTTGAGACATATCTCATTGGGTGGTCGTGGCTGGCCTGGAACTCAGAGAGATCCACCTATCTCTGAGTCCAGAACTCTGAAAATAAAGCCATTATGCCTGGCTTTTTCCTTTTTCTTTTTCTTTCTATCTTTTTTTGAAACAGGTCTTGCTATGTTACACAGGTTGGTCTTAAACTCAAGTAGTTCAAGTTACCCTTCTGCCTCCATCTCCCCAGTAGCTGGGTCTACAGCTATTGTGCATTCTGGGGTTTTTGTTTATATTATTTGTTTTTTAATTTTAATTGTTTTTTGTTTTAATTGTGTTTGTGCATGTTGAGACATGTACATTTGTGTGCATGTGGAGACTGGACATGAGCTTTGAATTTTTTTCCAACTGGTTTTCATGTTTACAATTTCATTTTATTTATTATTGTGTATGTGCTCACGTGATGTGTGGGTGAATGCCAGAAGACAACTCCGATGTTCGGTTTTCTCCTTCTACCTTTTCATAGATTCTGGGGATCAAAGTCAGGTTGCCAGGCTTGCACATCGGGGCCATATTGCTAGTCCCAACTTTGTTTTTTTGAGGCGAGGTCTCTCAGTGGAATCTGGAGCTACCAGATTAGGTGATGCTGGCTCAGCCAGTGCCAGAGATCCACTTATTGCTGCCTCCTGGACGGTGCAACTTCATGCTACTGTGCCGTGCTGTTTTCGTGAGTGCGGGGAATTGAACTTTGGCCCTCCGGCTTGCATGCAGCGCTTTACAGACTAGGCCATCTCCCAGCCCTCATTGCTAGGTTTTTAGATTTAAAAGTTTTAGTTATATGAGTTAGGTTAGTGAATACCTGACCTATCAATGGGAATTAGTGATGTTTATACTCATTAGTGTTTGGGTATAATAATGTCTCCTTCATTGTGAAATCTTTTTTTTTTTTTTTTTTTTTTTGGTTTTTCAAGACAGGGTTTCTCTGTGGTTTTGGAGCCTGTCCTGGAACTAGCTCTTGTAGACCAGGCTGGTCTCGAACTCACAGAGATCCGCCTGCCTCTGCCTCCCAAGTGCTGGGATTAAAGGCATGCGCCACCAC